CGCCACAACGCCTGGCTATTTTTTGGTTGCAGCCGTCATTGTTGTTTGGCGGGTCCGGGCTGGGGATTTGAACCTGCCACCTTAGGTGTACATGGCTGGCGCCTTAGCCGGTTGAGCTATAGGCGCCGAGCCTAAATTTCTTAATTACATAGCCAGGGCCACTTTCATTCTTTATCTTCTTCACTCAAGTATTCCCAAGTATCCAGCTGGAATGTAATCATAGAATGCTTCCTGGCTGTGGGACGAACCTCTGACTTCTTGTCCTCAGACAGGTTGCAGGACTGTTTTGTAGTGCACCAGGTGCTGGTGAAGACTAAACTTTGATTTTGCTTTACATAGATTTCCAAATCTGAAATCTGTCCGGGAACTCATCTTGAAACGTGGACAAGCCAAGGTCAAGAATAAGACCATTCCTCTGACAGATAACACAGTCATCGAGGAGCACCTAGGTGAGTGCCATAGCTGAGGGGTCAGCTGGGACAGAAAGCCAGGGACTTTGCAACATTGCTGTGGGATGTAGGTTGTATTCTTCTTAGAGTCCCAAGAACCTGCCAAAGTGCACTGCTATAGTATAAAAGAGCTTCTCAGTAGATGCTGATAAACGTTGAATAAAGGAATCTGTGCCCTTATGTTTCTTAGGGAGATTTGGTGTCATTTGCTTGGAAGACCTCATTCATGAAATTGCCTTCCCGGGGAAATATTTCCAGGAGATCTCAAGATTTTTACGTCCTTTCCAACTCTCAGTGGCCCGTCATGCGACCAAGAATAAAGTGGGCTTCTTCAAAGAGATGGGCTCACCTGGCTATCGGGGTGAACGCATCAACCAGCTCATCCGCCAGCTGAACTAATCCCCGGTGAGACAGGGCTAAAAACTGCCCGTGGAATGACTTTGATGGTTCCATACTTAAAAGACTATTGGAGGGAGACATAATCTCACTCTGTCACCCAGGCTAGAGTGCTGTGGCCTTAGCAAACTCAAACTCGAGGTTCAAGCAATCCTGCCTCAGCCCCAAGTAGCTGGGACTACAGCATGTGTTGCCACACCACACCGATTTTTCTATTTTTAGTAGAGATGGGGTCTTGATCTTACGCAGGCTGGTCTCAAACTCACCAGCTCAAGCAATCCTCTTGCCTGGACATGAGCCACCATGCCAGCCTTAAAAGATCTTTTTTATTATAATAACTAGTGTTTAGCTAGAGTGACTTTGCAGTTGGGAGGAAGGAAGAGGGCTAGTACTTACAGGTCTGAAGGATAGAGTCTTTGGAACAATGAATGCCTCATTAGGATTTGCAACTATGTATATATTTTAAGAGTTACAGGCTAGAAAATATCAAGTAATTAAAAAACTTTTGTATCACTGTGGTCATTTAGGTAGAAATGGGAAAGGGATAATATCAATAACTAATTTGACTGGGTGCAATGGCTCATGCCTGTAATCCTAGCACTCTGCAAGGCTGAGGTGTCTGGATTCCTCAAGCTCAGGAATTTGAGACTAGCCTGAACAAGAGCCAGACTCCATCTCTACTAAAAAAATTGAAAAAAACTAACTGGGCATTGTGGCAAATACCTATAGTTACAGCTACCTGGGAGGCTGAGGCAGGAAGGAGGATTTCATGAGCCTAAGAGTTTGAGATTAGTGTGAGATTTTGGTGCCACTGCACTCTACCCAGGGCAACAGGAGACTGTCTCAAAAAAAAAAAATCATTTTCAAAAGAGGATTTGAAAATCTAAGTCATCTGTTTTACAGAATAAATTTTAACTCTTTTTGAAGTTAACTTTTTATTTGCTGTTGTCACTCTTGGGTGCCTGATTGTAGTAAATTTATATTAATGCAGTTGTGTTTTTCTTTCTTAGACTATTTGAAAGCACAGTGCACTGGGAGCACATATTTTTGGTTTTTGGAATTATTACCAAATATCTTCAGAGAAGATGATTTCGGCTCTTTCTTCAAAAACAAAGGGAAGGGTCAGGGAAAATATAGTAGGTTGTGCTTGTGGCAGGAACCTCTCATCACAGTCCACTCCCAAGGAAAAATTCCAGTGTTTTCCACTTCAGCTACTGCCACCTCTGAATTTAGCACATGCAATGGAGAAAGGAGTCCTGCTTTGTCAGATCTTGTATCATGGAGTTTAATTTTGGTGAATGAATGATCCAAGCAGGTATACAAGGATCCCTAAGATTCCCACAATAATCGCCTAAGCTCTGGGGCATACTTGAATCTGAGTATTCACTGGGCTTTGTTTTGAAAAGACTTGACATAGGTTTAGGAAGAAGAGTGCATAAGCAAGTGTCCAGTTGTCTCTTCTGTGAATCCATGTTCCAAGTTTTCATTGATGGCTTTGAGAATGCTCAGATGTGGCTGGCTGTGTTAATCTGGTAGCTTTTGTATCCTAACCTATGTCTGGTTTATTCCCTTTCTCTAGTTCAGGGTTTGACAACAAAGGACCCCCTTTGCCAGGTACACTCATGTACTCAAAATTTTGCTTACAATTTTAAGGATATTCATAGACTCTTCTTGTGGACCTTTGTACTGCACACAAGGAAGTCCTGCTTTTACTAGGATTTGTCACCCAAGCCCTGATCTTACTATTCCCTGGTTCCATTGTCCTGTGGAAGACCAAAGCTGACCAAGATAGCTTTTTCCCTTCACAGTGGCAGATTGTATTGCCTTCAGCATCCTCAACTCTGGGAAATGTGTCATTCACCCGCACCCCCAACCCCAGACTTCAGGATGGAATTTTCTGTTTTCTGTAATGATAAGCTCTTCTAAAAACTGAGATGAGGGAGGAAAGAACCATTTTCTTGGTTTGGCATGGGTGAAATTAAGGCAATTTGGCTTTTTAGGGACCTTGCAGACAGCTTAATTAACCTTTTCCTTTCATATTCTAGACCCCAAAAGTATTGCCCTTTGTCCTGCTGGTAATGTACCGTGTTTCCCTGAAAAGATACTGTCTTATATTTTTTCTCTAGAAGACACACTAGGGCTTATTTTCAGTGGATGACTTATAAAAGGTATTCTAGGCTTCCTTACTGCTCTGTGCTGAAATGCATGGGGTGGCTATGCAAATATCCTGCATAGCCACACCCATCACTAGGTCTTATAATCGAGGTAGGGCTTATATTTAACAAATGCATAGAAATCCTGCTAAGGCTTATTTTTTGGGTAGGTCTTATTTTAGGGGAAACATGGTAGTAGACCAGCAACAGGGCTTCTGAGGATGCTAATCCTCAAAGATGTCAGTCTGATATTGCTTGTTTTTCATTGGCGTCCAGTCCTAAGTGGGCCTTCACTTGATTACCTCAGCTTGCCATCTGAGCAGTTAGTGAGGACATGCCAGACCTAGGTTAAACTTGGAAGTATGCTTGGCCATTGTGTTCCTGGTCCTTTCAGATTAGCTTTGCTTCAGTTTTGGCTCATGGGCCCTCAAACATAGCTGTGATGTTGCGTTAGAGGTATTAACAGTGCCTTAAAATGTGCCAGGTTATGAGGTAATTAATTAAGTTGATTGGCTACAGAGTTTACCTGCCAGAAATAGATGTTATAAAGTTAGTGTTATATTTTAAAGAGTTGTAAAGTCAGATTACTTTAAAATGATGTATCATAAAATGATGTATCACAAAGTCAGGGGAAAAAAGCAGTGGTGAGCATGGAAGCCAAGGTTGAAATCCCCACTCTGTTTTATGCTAAATATGGGAACAATGTTTCCATTCTTGCCTGTGAAATGGAGCTAATGTCTTCTGGCCTGTCTGCTTCATATGGTAATTGAAAGGATTAAGCAAAATAAGTTTGTAATTTATAATTTTATATAAATAAAAGGTTACAAAAACTACACTTTTTTCTTTTTTTTGAGACTGTCTCCCTTTGTCACCCTGGGTGGAGTGCTGTGGCGTCCTAGCTCACAGCTATCTCCAACTCTTGGGTTCAGGTGATTCTCTTGCCTCAGCCTCCCAAG